GTACTTAATAGACAGGAAGGTGCAAAAGTTATGGAAGCATTCATATTTCAGTATTTTAGTACCTTTTTTATTTATTTACTTGCGTGTTTTATGCTTGCATGTGTGTGTGTGTGCACATAGTAAGGGGTGCATGGGGGGGAGGTCACCGGAAATCTTGTAAGAGTTAGTTTCTACCATGTGGGGCCTGAGGATCAACCTGAAGCCTAGGCTTTGTGATGTCTAGCAGTCGGGGAGACCATGTTGGTTTCATGCAGGTATATGGTTTGAATCAGTTGTTTGTTTCAGGAGTCTGCATCTTCCACCCACAATCATGAACCTGTGGTAGCCTGCATGGTAGCTTGGAAATGTGGTCAAATATTAGACCATTTCTGATTCTTGACAGTAACCAAGTCCCCAAAATGAGTAATTCTGAATCACGGGTTTTGTTGACTAAATGGTACTGTGCAGTGTTATTTTATTTCTGATTGAAAGATGATGTAGTCCTTTTAAAAATGCCCTGATGATCACACTGCCACCACCACCCAAAGATGACGATTCATGTTGCTAAGATCACCCTTCTGGAAGATCCCATCATCCTCTTGATGTCTTGCCATTTTTAACATGTTTTGGCACAGGTGGTCGCTGACAGGTAATGAACTAACTCCGAGATGATGAAACATGATGTTAGAAAAACAAAACAGTAGGATCTCATCATGTTTTAGACTTATAAAAGCGTGCACCAGGCTTGATTCATGCCTTCACTTATTTTTTTTTTCCAGAACAGAAGAGAATGAAGTCTTAGTCAAATTCTCTTCCTGTCAAGATGTCTGGTGGTGGGCCAATTAAAGTCTTGCACAAGGCTGAGGGCCACACAGCAATGAGTGAGACCAGTGCTGGTGAGGCATGTCACAGAGGCACAGCATGTACTGCCAGATGCCCAATGTCACAATCAGAGTTGGCGAGCGGCACAGCTGGAGCAGGTGTAGAATCATGGCAGCAAGGCTCAATCTCTGGTTTTGCTTGAAAAGCTGAAAAAGGCACCCATGTTAAAGAGCATGGAAAAAAAATCACAGGTCAAGAGAAGGCCGAGGAAAATCTATCCTGAATACTCAAGTGGTAGCAAGAGGAGGAGGTTATGACTGGGCACAGGCACATCTTCTAGGAGTAAAGACAATGCTCTTTGTTAAAGAGGACTTCATCTTTTCTTTTATTTTAGGCTGCCTGAATTTGTGGGGACAGTGCCAACCTGTAAGTCTGACATTTTTATTTTTTTTTTATTTCTCTTTGGGAGGGAGAAACTAAGTGAAATAAATGTTTTTTTTTTTTTCCTTAAGTCTACGATAGATTCGCAAGGTAATGTCCAAGTAGAGTAACGTCTACTTTATTTTTTAAAGTAGAATAATACAATTCTTTCTTCTTTGGAATAGCTTAAGCAAAAACAAAAATTCGCAAACTAATGAGAATTTGCCAAAAAATCCACTAAAATGTGATAAACTGGAATGATTCATATTTATAGATTATAATTTTAAAGTAAAGTGAAGCCTCATGGCCCAGACATAATTCCAGGTAATTGGGATCTTAAGGCAGGGGAGTCTTGAGTTCAAGGCCAGCCCTGGGCAACCTAGTGAGTCCCTATCTCAAAATGAAAAGTGACAAATTGCCCTGGAGATGGAGTTTGGTGTTGTGATGGACAGAGTTCAATTCTTAGCATTACAGAAAAAATAAGGGAAAGAAGAAAGGATAACAGACAGACAGAAAAATACAGAGTGATCCAGAGAAGCAGCTATTTGAACTGGAAACAGGTAGCTCTGCTCATAATAGGGAAGACTTGCGTAGAATTAGCCTGGTCCTGCAGGCCCTCACAGTGCCCTGAATTAGGAGCTCATGGCTTGCTGTTGCTCGTTGAAAAGTAGAAACTAAAGCCACAGCCTTCAAGGTCTGCTTCAGTGATAGACTGCTCCTATGGCTTTGCTATGGTTCCTCTGCCCCATGACCCTGTCCCATGGTCCCACCCTGGGGTCCTGCCCTATCTTCACCTTCAAACATCAAGGCTCTGATTTATTGTTTTTCCCTGGATTATCTGACTCATCTCCAGGAAAGGAGATGTAAGTTATCTGATATTTGCTGAAGTGGCCATTCTGTTTCAGATGTTAGAAGTGTCTTCTACAAAGGACTTTAGTGATTGATAAGTAGAACGTCTGGTTTTCTTTCCAGAGCTGAGGTAAGGAAAGACATACAGTGAGACAGCTACAAAGGTGCCTCTTTTCTGATGCCTTGGAAGAGGAAACTATGTTGGGTACTTATTTGCAATAATATTGTCTATTCTAAATCTTTTTTTTTAACTTTTTTATTGGCTTATGAGTTTCACATCATGTACCCCAGTCCTGCTCATCTTCCTGTCTCCTTATATCCACCTATCGCCCTTGCAACTCTCCCTTCAACACACAAACACACGGACACACCACCACCACCACCACCAACAACAACAACAAAAACAAAGCATACAAAGTATCTCATAGTGGAAATTGTAGTGTGTCACAATGTGCCCCCACAGTATATCCTTCTGTCCATACATTGCTACTTGCAACTGTGCACTGCAATGAATGGTTTGAAAGCTCTGGCTTCTGTGATACCATCAATATTGGATCCTCATCAGGACTCTTGCCAGTTATCCTGTTGTTTCTCTGTGTCATGGAGATTCTGTAGTTTTGGAACAAGAGGACTGATCCTTTTACAGTCATTTGCAGATGATGTAGATTTGGGGGTGGACCAATTCAGAGCCCTGGATATGGGTCTGGATGGTAGCTGGACTGATCAACCTGCCAGCTCTCCCTTATCTGCACCATCAGGGTAAGCTCTCCAGCACAGCTCCAGCTAGGCCACCCAATGCCACCATAGGCAGGAGGCAGGTCAGCTCTCCTATTTTCTTGCCCTCAGGGTTGGCTCATCTGCACCATGCCTTCAGAACCAGGTCCACTGTGCTGCCCAGCTAAGGTGTGGTTCCTATTCTGCAGAGTGCTGCCGGCTGTGAGGGGTTGGGACAGCTCTCCTGCTCTCACACCTTTGGGACCAGGTCATCTGCACCTCACCCACACACACACTGGAGACAGCTCTAATGTGCTGCCCAGAGGAGGGGCACAGCCTGCTCTCCCAAGTGCTGTAGCCAGTGAGGGGGCAGGGATTGCTTTCATGACTTCAGGGCCAGCTCTTTTAGCTACGGTAGGTGGCAGACAGTGCCACCTCATGCCAGATGACTGGTAGGGCCACTCTCAGGGCTAGCTCACCTGCACTCTCTCCACCAGGGCCAGCTCTACAGTGCCGCTCAGGCGAGGTGCAGGCCCTGTTTTCCTGAGTGCTGCAGCCACTGAGAGGTTCAGCCAGGTCATCTGCTCTCATATACCTCCAGGGTCAGCCCTCCCAGCTGCCTCATGTGGCAAGGGTAAGGGGGTGGAGGGTGCTATTTCTCTCTTACCTTGGGGATCATTGGCCATAGGCCCAGAAAGACAAAGAGAGCTTAAATGATGAACAGAGTTTGGATAGCTGTGAGTATGACGGAGAAAACTTACAGGAGTCTGCTTCAGAGAGGCAGCTCATTCTATTTTTCCAAGGGTGAGGTATATAAGAGTGCTTAGGGTCACAGCTGGGAGGGCTTGATTGGTTATATAACACAGTACCTAATTATCATATGGGCAGGAAGGAAAGAATGGGACTTGTGTGCTTGTAGAAAGTTCTTTGCAGGGCCATCCTCCAAATAAGGTCAGGCAGAGAAGAGAAAGCCCCACTGAGTGGGAGTCCTCCCTTTTGCACTGAGATTGGACAGCTATCTGGACATGGTGGACTACAACCTTAATAGCAAGGGTCCTCCAACAGGCATCACACACTCCCAGGCCACCTCACGGCAGACAAGTGTGGGAGGGCTATCTCTCCCATAATCTTGCCCTCAGGACCAACTCACCTATGACCCCTCTACCAGGACCAGCTCTACTGTGCTGCCCAGAAGAGGTGCAGGGCCTGCTCTCCTAAGTGCTGCAGCCAGTGAAGGGCAGGGACAGCTCACCCACTCTCATGACCCCAGGGCCACTTCTCCCAAATGCCCCAGGTGGTGATGGGTGAAGTGGGGAGGGCATCACTCCTGCACCCGTGCCACCTCATGGGAGAAGAGTGGTGGGGCCAGGTCTTCTGTGCTCTCTTCCTTGGGGCTGGCTCACATGCACCCGTGACACTAGGGTCAGCCCTTCTGTGCTCTCCATGTGAGGAGCAGGGCCAATTCTCCTGAGTGTTACAACTAGTGAGGGTCAGGGATAGCTCTTCTGAGCTCATGAACCTGTTGGCAGCCTTCCCAGAGGAGGTGAGAGGCAGGATCACCTCTGCGCCTGTGCCATTCCATGGCAGATGAGTAGCAAGGCCAACTCTCTCGCACTTACCTCCTCAAGGCCAGTTCACCCACATCCCTGCCACCTGGGTTAGCTCTGCTGTGCAAGTGAGCAAGTGAGCAGGGCTTGCTCTCCAGAGTGCCATATTCAGTGAGAGGTGAGACTAATTATGCACAGCCCCTGGACATCTGTGGTCCCTAGTGGCTGTCCCGACCAGGGACATCCCCATGTTCTCTAGTGAGCCATGGACATCCACACTGACCCCTGCTGCTGTGTAGTCACAGACCCAGACATGGCCTTCCGTGGCAGCTCAGGCTGGACTTCACCATGGCCCCAGATGGTGGGGCTGGGCATTCACAACAGGCTACTCCTCTTTACCCTGGACTCTCCAGTTCTCTCTTCAAAAAAACCCCAGCTGCTCCACCTCTCTTTCTCCTCCATCTGACTACCACATGCACATGCATTGTGATGGCTCCTGCTACAGGCTGGCCATATGGCTGCTGGGCCCCCAAGTGACACCCTCAATCCATGCTTCAGAGCATGATGGCAATCATATTATCTACAGCTTGCCTGGGCCACGCAGTGGAGGGCAGGTCTCTATCTGTCTTCCTCCAAGTTGTGCTGCCTGGATTTGATTTGATTTGATTTCTGTGAGTCCTAGGCAGAAGATAGCTTTGGCCAACAAGCCAGACATTAAGCTAGGATGTACAAAGGAGTGCCATTTGCTCTGCCCCTGGATTATATAAGAACACCACCAACAATAAGGCGTCTCTTGCCCATTGCCAGGGAGGTCAACCCTAAACTTTTAATTTTATCTACATCTTAGCATTTTTATAAACTTTATTGTTAAAACACCTGTCAAGTAAATGTGCTCCAAAATTAATCAGACCCAAAGTCTATACAAATCAATCCTTCTACAGGTAGAAGGATTCAGAATCAAAGCTGGGAAGCCTTCAAATGTTCCAAGATTTTAGATGGTTTCATTTATGTCCAGAGCCCATAAAACATTTAGGATTTTCAACTTTTCCAGATAGCACTATGAAACTAAGGTTTTCATTACTGCAGCCATGGAACAAAGATACCTTGGTGTAAAATTATATTCTTCTCCCCTTGATCCATGCCAAGGGAAGGCTAGTCTTTTGTAAAGGGTCAGACAGTAAACACATCAGACTTTCCAGGCTGTGTGGTCTATGGCAGGAGTCCTCAGCTCCACTGTGCACTGTAAAGGTAGCCACGGATGATGTATGAACAAGCACCGTGGCTGAGCTGCAGGCAGAAGCTTGTCCTCAGGCTGGGAACAGTCTTTGTGGATGGTAGGCAAAGTTCTCACACCAGTATGTTTGGGTGTGAATGCATAAAAACTCAGAAATGAGCAAGGGCTTGCCCATATGGGACTCTGAAGATCTTCCCTGGTTCATACTTGTGGAATCTCACCCTGGAGCACATCGGCATTGGCTGCTTCTACAGGTTCACTGACAGTGAATTCTGGAGACATTGACACAAAGAGGTTTCCTTGTAAAGAATCTCCTCCCTGAGAGGTTCATCAGAATCTTTAATCCAGCCAGGAGTTCCTTGCTGGGTGGAGAGCAACACAGTCTTACAGAGGTGGATTTGCTGTATTCTCTTCTACATCCTCACTTCAGCTCTGGGGTCTTATGTTCTAACGGATGCTGCAATATTTATGAAAGAGTCCTGACATTAACATGAATTTAGTGTGTGGTGAACTAGCCTCATCAGGATTAGTTTTCTAGGTTCTAGATGATCTGGCTCTGCAGGCACACCTCTCAGTGTTTCTTCCACCCTGTCCGTTGTAAGCCTTTGGTGCTCAGTCCATCCTCTCACCAAACTATTTACAAGGTTAAAATCATGTTCTGTTTAGAAGTGATCCTGACCAGAATGGTTGAGAGTATTTAGGCAGCCTAGGATGACTGGGACCTCCTTCTTTTTATGTGAGCAAGGCTGAGAATGTCCGTCCTCCTTCGTGGTGGCTGTGATGGCTGTTTCACAGTGGATGACCATAGCAGGTAGAGTTCTATTTGGTATCTGGATGATTAGTACTTAACTACCTCATAGCAAGTGCCTCAGGGGAAGAAGGGGTTATGTTGGCTCACAGTTTAAGGTACAGTCCATCCTCACAGGGAAGGTGTGGCTGTAGCAACAGCTCTCAGTGAGAGTGTCAGGCTGCCCGCCCACACTGCCTCAGCCCTGGAACCAGAGAAAAGTGACTTCTAGAGCTCAGCTGGCTTTTCTTATAACCAGCTCTCTCTTTTCTTATAACCATAAGACTGGTCCTGCACAGGGCTATCAGAGTCCCCTCTTGATGTTAGATCTTTCACTACCTAATAACAACAGTTGACAATAGAAATTCCTGATTTCCACTCTTTCCCTGTACCTACTTCCTGAAAACCTTTGTAGTACCTGTATCTGGCACCAACGGCATCCAGGGAAATCCAGTGATGCATGATTTAACCAGACAGGAAATTAATGGACTGTAAATCAGGTCTGTCATGGTTAGATGAGCAGGATGAAAAAATGGGCAGAACAGGACCACAGGAAGGAGCTGACATCATAGTCAAAGCAAAGCTACCCAGCTTTACTATGACAGGAGGGTGACCGTAGTGAACCGTAGGACCAGGGACTCAGCCCCTCTGGCAGCCCAACCTGACGTTTCTGTCATCCTTTCCCTTAATGCACATTTTTTAAAAATTTTAAATTTGCAGCTTTATTGAGTTATAAGTTCTATGCCATGAACTTCATTTCTTTAAAAGAATGGCTTGATGTCTGAAGTAGAGCTGGAAAACTGCCAGGAAAAAGACATATACCCACTAGGTTTTTCTCCCCTAGGCTCCAGTCCTAGGAAAATACTAATTTATGTTCTATCCCTATGGCCTTGCACGTGCTGGACACTTTTTATACCAATGGTATACAACATGTGCCCTTTGGGACTGGCCTTGGCCATGAAGCTTAGTGTTTCCAATGTCAATCCATGTGATCACATGCCTCAGTGTTCTAACCCCCTTTTGTAGGGACATTACATTCCACCACGCAGGTAGACCTCACCTTATTTTCTCATTGACCAATTAACGGTGTTGGAGCTGCCCCCATGGAAGGCTTTGCAGATCCCACGTCTAGATCTGGGAGGCCCATCTCCTTTGCCAAGAACTTCTCTGTTCTCCTATGGATTGATACTACATTCACTCAAGGAACATCTGGTGCAGTTTCCCTAGAGATTATGGTCTGTGTGTGTCCATGCAGGTGGCAGAGAGGGCTGGCCCATGGATCATTTCTTATAGTGGTCAGCTTGGAAACTAACCTCAGTCAAATGACTGAGCAGATAAGTTGATGAACCTATGAGCTTGCATGGCTGCTTTCCCCCAAAGTGAGACATTTGATCTAATAGGATTCTTATACTTAATTATGTTGGATGCGGGGCCACCCTGTTAGCCAAGACAATATGACCCACTACACATTTTTCTAATTAAAGCACTCCTACATTAGTTGATACATGTAAGTTTCTCTTCTTTAAAAAATAGCCATACAATAAACCTAATCTATGAAATGGTTGTTGCAACAATAATTTCCAAAATAGTAATCAGGATTAATATTTGACACAAAACACATGAAAAGTTATATATTTTAAATGTAGAAATTCTTTATGCACATAGCTCTAGTGGTGCAGTCATGGTAGACAGCATTTTGGCAGTTAATGTCAGAACCTACTGAGTATTATAAACAACTCAATCTGGTCATTTTATTGGTGGGGATCAATCCTAAGAACCTACACTACTGAACACACTTTATAAATAAATATCCATTGCCATCTTTTCTATAACAGAAGACATATGAAATAGTCTAAATGTATGCTGACATAATATTAGCTAAGTAAATGATGGAATACATTTAGATTGTCATTAAAGAAATATCTTCAATGAGTTTGTAGAAATAACATGCAAGAACTTGTGTTAAAATGAAAATAAAAGAGTAAGAGGCAAAAACCATAGTATGATGGTTCCTATTAGGTGTCAATAATGCTAAAACACAGCAACAAATGTCAACAACCATTGTTTCTAGAGTGTGCAGCTTGCAGGGGGTTAGAAATTTCTTCATTATTTTTTTAATTTTCCAAGCTTATTATACTGAGTGTTTTGTCAGGGGAATTATAACAGGCACTCAGAAATCAAGGTACAAATGAAGTGAAAATTTAAATGCATTAAATGTTATATTCATTTAAAAAAGAATGTCATAAAATGAGCATTGCCTTGGGAAACACGGGCTGTGAGCTTTCTGTGCACAGAAGGACCACATTGCTGTGGTTAAAAAAAAAAAAAAAAGTGCCGTGATATCTACTCCACAGGCAGTGACTAGCCGATGGGGCTGATAGATGAGGTGGGCAGGGACCATGAAGCTTGTGAGATTCTAGGCATTGTTGCTCCAGGGCCAGGCTGGTCACCCCAGCAGACACTGCATCTTTTCCAGGAAGCTCTGTCTCTCTGCTCTCAATTACCTGTCGCTCAGTGTGTCAGTCTTGGCAGCTGAGTTCTGACGAGATGCATGTTGGCAGGGGAAACTGAAGTGGACTGACAGCCTGCATCTGAACAGGTCACCTAGGAAGGAAGAACTTTACCAACACTCTTGCTATGGGGTCTCTTCTCTTCCTCCCTCCCCTTCCTCTCTCCTCTTCCTCTCTATTGTGTGTGTAGTGGTGTGCACATGTGTGTACCAGTCAGTGTGAATTGTCTTTCTGTTACTTTACGCCTTATCTTTTGAGTCAGGGTCACTCATTGAACCAGGTACTCATGGATTCCATTAAGCTGGTTGGCTAGCAGGTCCCAGGAAATCCTCCTCTGTCTGCCTCCCCATTTCTTCAGCTCAGGGCGCACACTGTCATGTCCAGCTTTTTCTGAGGCTGCTGGAGATCTGAACTTAGGCTCTCATGCTTGTGCTCTAAGCACTTTACCAACTGAGACATCTCGCCAGCAATCCCTTCCTTCCTTCCTTCCTTCCTTCCTTCCTTCCTTCCTTCCTTCCT